GTCTCCAGGCATAGCATACGGTAGTCGCGCAAGCGATTATTACACGAGGCGAGCTTGAGCTGAGTAAGTTAGTTCATTGGCCTACAGGGCCACCACTGAGTCAGCACTAAACAAAAATATGGAAAGGTAACTACTCATACTGTGCTGCTGTTGCCATTTTTTGCAACTATGATGACGGTTTTGGTCAATTCCTGCCTTTTTATGCCTTTTTCAATTCCAGTCTTCGTAAAGTCGTAAAATAGGTGATAAATTTGTAGGGTGACTAGCCGGCAGCTAGACTAAGCTTTAACAAAGTCAAGATGCGCAGGGTCTTGAATGCACTGTTTTGAGAACCACATACATTATTAAAATTACTGAGTGGATGCTGATGGGCAAAGAGGATCCATCAAAACGTTTGCACAATTTGAACGTTGCAACGAATTTGACTGACTGATGATATTTAGCGGAGTATGGAGGGGAATATTTTAATCTTTCTGGTTTCGTCTAAGACAGGTAGAGATGCCATATATTCTAATATTTTTTATTCTCTCTCTAGTAAATATTGTAACATTTTGATGCATGTATAGTGTGGCTTGCTGCATTTACCTGGGCATTCACATTCTCTTACTTGAGACATGTTCATACCATTGTATCTGCATATAAATAACTTTATTGACATATTGAGAACACATTTTGTCTTTCTAGCAGGAGCAGCTCGTGTCTCTAGGAGACAGCAAGAAGCTGCAGAAGGTGGTACGAGAGATGGTGGGACGCCTGTTCTCAAAGCAAGTCCAGGAGCAGTTTTCCGGCCCTTCTGGGCAACCAAGGAAAGTCAAGGTTCAAGGACGCCATGATGTGTAAGGTGGTCATCGGTAATGCATATTCTTTACTAGCTATTAAATTGATGGTATCTCTATTGGAGCTCAATAGACAAGCACAATCTTTGAAATAGGTTGACAATTGAAGGGAAACTGAAACACTTTTTGACAAAAAAACGAGTTATAGGTGACTTCTGGCGTATTTTTGTCCTGTGAATCTGAATATCACTTTCGTTTTCCCCGAAGGTGTAACTAGACGCGAGAAAACACGAAAAGCCTCAGAGCAGTCATGACGTCGTACTAGGATCTTTGGGGCGCCAAGCACGTGTCGCTCGTGTGGGCGGCGCGTGCAATTGCAAGCTTGCCAGTTGTATTTTTCCACACTGATGCCAGTTGTGGCGTCTATTTCTGACCTTTTTACAAATACAAGAGTTCACGTGCATAGGTTTGAGAGGAGCTGAAGATGAGCGAGAGAAGAAATTCCGAAAACTCCCAGCATGACGTCACGCCCCGGGAAGGAGGGGCTTCAGCTGTACTTTAGAAATTAATTTCTGCAGCCTCCGTGCACCAGATTGAAAAAATGAACTCGATATTCGTGATCCTGGATGCCATATCAAGACGATTTTGGTGTTCTTCCTCAAATACAAAACAGCTTCAGTTTCTTGTTAAGTCTTGCAATATGCAAAATTTAAGTCGTCAATTTCTGTCGTTATTTTATTTTTTTTTTTTTTTAAATTTGACTTGCATTTTTTATTATGAATATCTCCTGTGTTACCATTCTCGGAACCTTCATACTGAAAAGCAGCGTCTTGAAGGAACTGTGAAAAAAGGTTTTTGTTGCTCTTGTCTTGTTATCCTGTTAGTTTCCAGGTTGAAAATCTAATGACGACCATTTAGAGGCCTTGGTCTGTAGAGTGTCAGTTGGGGAAGTTTTGCTCTTTTTTTAACCACTCATCTCTGCACCCCACCCCTTCTCGCCCCCGCCCCGTCTCGCCCCCCATTTCAGATTAATAGGATGTTGCGTGAAATAGCCATATGCCTCCATAGAATCTGCACCTTAGCGTGGTAGCCAAACGCACAATCTCCACCTCTGTGGTGCTCTCTTTCTGTCACCTTTGAATTGCAGGCTAAGTGAGGGACCTATATTTACACAAAGTAAACGCTCACAAACTGCAGTGTGTGAACAGCACCTTGTGTGTAGCTAATATGCAAGATATTGGCTTCCCCTATCCCTCAACTAATCTGTGTGATCTGACAATTCTCTTTACAGGTGCCATACAAAGTTGCACTCGTGCAGCGTGGACGCGGTGCAGAAGTGGCTGACGGGCAGGGAGGCGGGCAAGGGCAATAGAGTTAAAAAGACGGGCACTCCACTGGTGGTTCCAACCGCCCTTGACGATGAGGGACACTCTGGCTGAGGAGCTAGCTGCTATGGATGCACGAGTCACAATAAAGAATGTCACGGTAAAAAAAAATTTGTATGTTCCCTTCTTGTACTACCCACAATATGCATCTGGGCGACAGATGAATGGGACATGTCGTCTCAACGAGTATACAGTAATTGCCATGAGTATCCTGTATACATGGAGAAAGTCAATTGTTCACACAGAATTGTTTCTTAAAATTGCACAAATACTAAACCGGCTTTTTTCAGTTCAAGTCCAAGTTCAAGTGGGTACACTGAATAACGCATACGCTGGTGCTGATCCGCAATTTCGCAGGCAATGACCTGCAATTACGCTGGCACTGATCTGTTTTTACGCTGGGACTAATCCGCAATTGGACTGGCTCTGACCCGGAAACACGCTGGCACACTGATGGTTTCCTACCGTACCACCGGTTCCATGCCGGGGATCTGTGTCGGGAGCTCGCTGGGAACATCCCGTATTCCCGGCATCCCGGTTTCCCAATAAGTTCCCAGTACCGGCCGGATTCCGGCATTGGGCCCGGCCAATGTCGCCCCTTGGGGCGTTTCCGGTACTGGCCGGTATCAGTATCCCGGCAGGCCAATACCGCCCCATCCCCAACCCGGCGTGTTGTGCTACTTGGGTAGTGCCAGCAGCGATTTCGGCAGCCCTTTTTATTTTTCCTAAAGGGATACTGAACCGAAATCTGTATTTCGTCAAAAAAGGCAGTGGGAGCATTAAACTGCAAGCTACAAACTCTAAGACATCACTTTTACAACAATATCTCGAACAAATGGCTGGATTTTTGGAAAAGAATGACACAGTTGAGCGAAACTGGTGGCTGCTCTGATGCCACATTGCTGGGCTAGCAAGCTTTGGGGGAGCTTGGTAATGCAACATCAGACTGGTAAAATGATGTTAAATGACCTGCCAACTTCGCTCAATCACTTCATTCTTTTCTAGAAATACAGCAAGCCATTTAAGATACAGCGTAGACCGCATATAACGTATGTCGCGAAAATCCGCACTATATCCGCACAAAACATCGATTTTTCAGGCCAAAATGCATGCCATCAGACAACTTACCTTTGTAGAAAACTTTATTTTATGTTAGATGAAAAATAAAGCTTAGTTTGAAGAAAGTCTTCATTTCACCAGACTAATACACTTCCCTCTCAAGTGTGTCACACATTTTGAAAGAAATGAACGAATTTTGCCTGGTGCAGCCTTCTAACGGCATCGCGGGTAGCGGACGGACGTTGCGAGCATTCAGGATTGCTAACCCTATTCCCTTTTCTCCGGCGATGAAAACGCGTGAAAATTTGCATCCTCTATACGGTACGCGCCAGTAATACCTTACACTTGAGCACAGGCATGAAATGCTCCAAATAAGAAATCCGGGCGATGTTCGAAAACAGAAATGCTTAGAAAGCACCACTGTAGTCGAAGTAAACAAACACGACGCCACGGGCGTTTCTGCCGTCTTGAGAGTGCTGCCACAACATCGCCGCACGAGCAGGTGGATCTTCCCTTCTAGTACGTGCTGGGTTATCATAGTGACACACAACGAAAATTCACAGTCAAGGATAGCGCTTTTACGCGGAACGATGAGCTTCAACCACGCCATCTACATCGACGATCAAAACCGACGCCATGCTTGCGGGTAGAAGCAGTCAACCGACCGGCCGGCCGGCCCGCGACCGGCACGCAACGCGCGCGAACACTTCTCCTCGACTTGCGATTGGTCTGTTGTTGCGGTTGTTTCCAACGTTTCCAACGCAGCGGAGGGACGCACTCACGTGAACGACACGTGCGTGCGTCCCTCCGTCGCTATGGCAACTGAAGCCTCTCTCTCTTCGCTTCTCCCCGCTTCTTCGAGCAACCTCCTTGCCCTGCGAGTGCCGCTTGCGGCTCGCGCCGTTATCTAGTGTCGCACAGGGAAGCGTGCTCTCTGCGTCGGTCAGTCGGCGCGGTCGCCGGGCTGTTCCGAAAACCGCACTATAACCAGTATTTCCCTTCGCGCGCCTGCCTTTTAAGCGGTATGTAATTACAAGGAGTTCTATGGGAGGCGAACCACTGGTTTAAAAAAGCCTCATTATACCCGGTCCTGCACTATAAGCGGTTATGTTGTAAGGGGTCCATACTATATTGTTATATAAAAGTTATTTAGGTCCTAAGGCTTGTAGCCTCCTGTTCAACGCTCCGACTGCCTTTTGAGAAATACAGATTTCGATTCATTATCCCTTTAACCTCATTATCTGATATTTCTATTGGAACTATGTCTCCGATTTCCTCTGATATTTCTATTGGAACTATGTCTCTGGTTTCTAATTGGAAGGTTTCAAAAACAAAGTTCAAGCAGGTGGCAACCCCATACCACAACAGACGATTCAACCAGCGGTGTTATAGTGTGAGGGAGTGAGTCAGATGTCTGCAAAGAGGCTTGCGATTGTTTCTGAAAGATGATCACTTTGGCTTTCAGTCAGAGGGACGATTGAACTGAGTATATCTTTGGCAGTTTAAGGATTGTGCATGTTACATCATGTAACAACTGCTCTGTCACATGTGACAGAGCAGTTGGAACAGTACTTGCAAAAATAGTGCCCTACTGCAGCAAGTGGTGATTGCTTGGCAGCGTTCAGTTTGAGGAGCAGTGAAGAAAGAATTTCAACATCCACCTAGGCATTTACAAACAGGCAGGTTGCACAAGCCTGCTCATATTGGATTCCATGCAAAGTTGTAACTTCTGCATGCAGTTTTGACACACTTCAAAATAATTTTTATAGGCAATGCTTACGTGCAGCAGGGAGAGGGAAGTTCTCTTCAACTTCAATGTTTGATGGTTGGATATTTTCTTGGTCATCGCCTAGAAGGAGTAAGCACCATGATAGAGATTGTTTATCACAGTATCAGTAAGGCATTTTCCATTGAACCTGGTAGTTACCTGAGGCTGCCGACGACTCCAAGCAGGAGGTTATCAAGGCTTCCTTCAGCTTCGTATCCGCCTTCTTGTATGTGCCTAAAGACAAAAAAAAAATGGGAACCACTTTTGTTAGTTCACACTATTTGTCATCCTGTATTGGTGGTCCTTGTTGGCTGTCTTTTTGTCATTGAAAATTTATAAAGATCACTAATAACTTTTAAAGAAAATTACGGCAGGCTCTGAAGCTTCAGCATCTGGTTCCAACTGCCAGCACCATGTAAACGGGAAGCAGTGTCCTGTCTACATCTCCCACTGTACTCTCCCCTGTATTTGTGGCATATTATTTAAAAATGAGTAACCAACCATCTTGATGCATAGTTTAAGTTTGCAGGGAGAAAAACATCAGTCATTCTTTATTGAAGGGGGGGGGGGGGCGGGGGGGGGGGGGAGTGTTGAGATACGGCAAAAGAGGCAAAAAGCAACTTGGACATTAGTGTTGAGACAATGTAACTTTGGATTGCCAGTATAGGGCATCACTGGATTACACTGTACATGAGCGATTTAACTAGTACAACTGCTAGCCTGCGGTCATGAACGTGCATCACACGGCGACGATACATGGCTACACCAGGCACGTAGCCAGGGAAGGGGCCCATGGGGCCTGGGCCCCCCGAAATCTTTCATTTTGCTGGGACCTCCTCTTCCCCCTCCCCCTCATACAGCATTTTGTCATGCGTGCCCGTGCCCCCCCCCCCCCCCCCCCCCCCCCGAAACAAAACTCTGGTTACGTGCCTGAGCTACACGCCGGTATGATGGTTGTCCAAATTTAAACAAGCAGGGGTGGGGATATGACCCATTATCTAATAGTTGTGCACCACAGGCTTTCACACTTACGCTCCGAGCTGGTGTCCACTTAGCCCACTCTGCTACTGATACCAGCTCCCCCCCCCCCTCCCTTTTTAATCTAACACCCAGTAGTTGTTGACCTGGAGAAACGTGTGCCACAACCGAGTCGGAAGTAAACTAATTCGGTGAAATAACCTAACAAAATGACGACAGGAAGTTTGCTTCAGAACATGAGCATGACATTGAGAACCTCGACCGAAACACCGCACACACACAGTCTGTTGCTATGTGACTATAGTAAACTCCTATAGCGAGCTCAGGAGTCAGGCGTAGTAACCCTTGTGTTATGGCGACCTAAGTATTGTGCACAAATGAAATGCAAGGCACCTCAGCAAGCCCAATTATTCTTCCAAAAAAGTTTCAAGAAACTTCTTTGATAGAAAATAGCGATCAAGCACGAAATGTGCTTTACCGCATATACTATACACCTTTCCAAAAAACGCTCCTAGGCCGCCGCAATGTTGCTGATGCTGATGCGGCTGGTGCGACTCTTGCGCCCCCCTATCAGCTAGAAATTTTCTGCCACTCTCTCGGACTGTGAAAACCCCCTCAGCGCGTTTCTCTACCTATGTTTTGCAGTTTTGCATTCAACATTTTCTGGCCCCTCTTGAAAGTTTCCACTTAATTTTCCTGATGCATGCTGCGTACCCTTTCTGTGGTATCTTTTGCTGTGATAAATAGGAGTAAACGCGTGCCATTCAAGCGTTTCTGCTCGACATTCACAGGAAACGAAGGAGGGGAAGAACGTCAAACGGCCTTCGACGCGATTCCCTCTCCTAGAGATAATCCGCATAGAATCCATCTCAGTCATAGTCAAAAATAGTCCTTCCAGTTGGAGCCAGTCATGCCCGTTCCTTTGCCTCGGTGCTAATGGGAAAAAAAAGAAGCTCTCCCCAAAACGTGCCCCAAAATGAAGTCATCTTGTATTCCATCCAATCGTCAAGATGCGACTGTTATCTTGACGATTGGATGGCACCACAGGCTTTTTTTGTGTTATTTGAGATCTTTCTCAAATTAAGTCTTTTCAGATAACGCTGCATCGTGTGGTACATAGAATCTATTGTTTGAATACGGTCATCGGTAAACCCGTTATTTGTGAGCTTGAAAATGCACGTCTTTCAGCTATGTTCTCTTGTAAATTATTTTGGACAGCTAACCACTCTGTCATTTGATACACGGCTAATCGGGCGGCGCCGTCAAAACTTAAAGTAAAAAGAAAAGGACAGCTAACATTTTAGTTGCATTCATTCTGTCACGTGCGTACCCAACAAAAATAGTTTACAGTTCTTTTTTTGCTTTTTTGTTTTTTCAAATGTGGTACAATGCTTTCTCTATGTCCTCGGGAATATTCATACACAATGAAAGACAAAGTACAGCGAGAAAAGACGAAAATTTATCAGCCAGCCGTGTTTGAAACTGTGCCGACACAGGCTGCGCCTATGGAAATCGCAGTCCACTAGGTTAGGGTTAGCAGAGATGCTGGTGAGAGTCTAGCCTCAAACCCAGTGACCATGGGCTCGAATACGGTTTGTAGACCCTGAGGTCAAGTGTTTCTCGAAAAGGTGTATATCCCCCGGCTGTGCAAACACTTCAGACAATTCATGTTAGAACAAGGTTTGATAGTCGATCGTGGACTCCTGGTGTTCGAATTCATGGAACAGGGAAGCACAACCCAAAAATCATCAGAGATCAGTGACAGAACCGTTTGAACAATGCAGAGATATCTCTGCTACATTTTTGACTACACTGGAATCAATTTTTACAGTATGTACTTACTAGATCCACCCATTATTATGACTGGAAAAATTTTCCAGTTCTTGATGGGCTCCATGCCCTTCTCCGCAGCGTCCAGGAGTTTGGAACCAGCCAGGTCCTTTGGCGGCCACAAGCAATAGTCGGTGCCTCGCATCCATTTTAGCGGGACCACACTTACAACGTCTTTTTCAGTGTAGAACCTGACTACGTAGTAGTTCTTTTTAAGAACCCTGCAGCGAAATAAGCATCAAATTACTAGTTTGACCACATGAAAGTACACAAGTATGAAAAGCACTCTTTTGGGAGGGAGGGGGGGGGCACATTACGAGTTATAGAAACACAAGCCAAGCTATGACATTTTAATTTCACGTTTCTCAGTTATGAATGACAACTGTTTAGCTTCAAACCTGCAGTGGAGCTAAATAAAGGTGGAGACACATGTGAGCAAAATGCTAGCAAAATCGTGCTGACGGGCAACATTACCGTAGCAACCGCCACTGGCATCATCGCAGGGCGGTTAAATGACGTCGTACCACTCTGATACAAAAAACTAGATTCTTGCTGTGCAGCACTGAGATGGACAGCGAAAAATTACACCCATGTGTTGACAGGTGGATTGGACGGTGGCGAAATTGGTGGGTGTTTGCATTTTTTATGTATTTGTGAGTCATGTGAGTGTTGTGGATCATAACTAGGGTTCCGCGTCTTCAGTATATGCCGATAAATACCGAAAATGAACCACCACGGCGGTTTTCTCTGAATTGGAGAAAACCTAAAAAGACCCAATTTTAGCTGTCCTTAAAGGAAAAAAACAACAAAAACATCTGCCTCACGCGAAAAAGTCTTCCACCCTACTCTTTTTTTCTTTCTTTTTGACCCAAAAAATAGCCACACTTAACTGTCCTTAGGGTTGTTCCTTCCTGTCGAAACCACATTCTTTGCTCCGTGCTCTTTTCTCTTATCTTTACCAGCATTATTGGAGAAAATATTATAATTTATGAACTAAAAATTACAAGATTTTCTTTGGGAATTATATGGTCACTTTACAATGCAAGCCCAATCAACACCGATTTGCCTCCTGCATTGAAATACCTAAAAACACCGATTCGAAGGGAAAAGAAACACCGATAAATTACCCACGAATTTGGAGAATACCGAAAACATGGAACCCTAGTCATAACCTACTACGGCTTTGGTGCTTTATGCAGAGTTATGTGCTTTAGTTGTGGGCTTGTAGGACTGTCGCCTGGCCTCCACTTCCCCGGTTGCACTTCTTATGTTCTTTCATATCAATAAGCTCTTTCACTGCCAACACATTTTACGAGTTCATGCGACGGCAAAGGGCTGAGAGCAATTCAGTGTTACGATGAAGCTGCAACTTCCATTTGTTTAGGCTTTTTGGAGGAATATAGGTTGTATCCACTCGCGGCTTGCGGCAGTGCATTCTGGAAACAGCACCATCTTCGTGTCCATGTTAACAAACAGTCATGCTCCTATGGCCATACTGCCCTGACTACCTGACAATTCTTCTACATGTTTGGCAGTGTAGCAATGTCATCTTCATCAGCTTCCCGGGTACGCACACGATACGAGGAGAATGAGGAAACGTGTCCGGCAACGTAGCATGTTGTTTTTGCTAGGTGACAGCAAGCTGCGGCTGCAAGTGAAAATGATCAATGTCCAGGACTACCTGATCCTAAAGGCAAGCAAGTCATAAAGCCCGAACTGCAAGTACGCGGTTTGACGAGGAAGAGGCCAAGCTACGACGATCGGTCGGTGTCGTTGCTCTCATCGCTGGGTTCTAGATTTGTAGAAACTTCACTCTTTGGCCGAAAAGAGAAGTAGTGAGCACACTCTGTACTTCTAGAGATCAGCATGCAGGTCTTTCCTGTTGATCTGTGTGTGCTATTCACGTTCTAGCCTAGCAAAAAGCAACTACGTCTTTTTGCACTTATGCGTCTGTTCCAGGCGACCATGAGCGATTGCCGTCGCTCAGTCTTTTACCCGTTGAAATGCCTACCTGCGATTCAGCCTCCATGCAAACATCAGAAGTCTTACCTACGAGTGAGACAATGGTAACTCTCTCAGTGCTCGCTGCGTTGATTGACGGCTCCTGGACTTCTTAAAGTAGTTCCAGGTAACGTTAGTAGATGGTTAAGGGCATTTAAAGGTTTGTAAGCATTTAATCGCTTGCACGTGACATAACTTGCCTTTAGAATCAGGTTGTATTGGATATAATTTTCACTCGCGGCCTCAGCTTGCTCTCCAGGCCGAGATCTTTCGGCTGTAGAGCAAATGAATCCACGCTGCATACCTGCACATTGTCTTCATAGCGTATGTGTTCCCGAAGAGCTGATGAAGGACTACTTTATGAAAACGACATTATTACGTCGCCAGACGTGTTTTTACGTTTCCCTCGTATTGTACGCAAGGAGGCATACCCAAGAAGTGATGAAGAAGTCCTTGAGGAACACGACATTGTTATAGGGCGTATTCACTGACGGCCATAGCTGAGTGCATTGCTCGTGAGTATGCCTTGTCACACCGTTAAGATTGCTGATCTTGGCAGAACGTAAATGGAAAACTGTTCTGAGCATGTGCTGTAAACAGTGTAAACAGTGTAAAAGAGCTCAAAATACAGGCTGTTTCAAAATACAGTTTAGACTTTAAAATCGCCCGCAGAAATCAGGGACTCGACGTATTAAGTAGAAACTTACCTGGAAAACAGATTTTACTAGTCGGATTTACGCATTATAATTTTAAATCTCAATTCCAAGTACAAAAATGCCCCAAATTAGTCTGTATTTTTTTATCCTAATTGAAACGGAGACTTGAATTTTTAATCTGTAATTATGTCTAATAAAATATGTATTCGAGGTAAGTTTCAACGTGACACGTTGAGTCGCTGCTGCTCGAAGGGCCATTAATTGTAGCTGCATACAACTTTATTTTGAGACACGAGAAAATAAGCGGCTCAACTTAGCAGGTTGAAACTTACCTCGAATATGCATTTTATTAGTGCCATCTACAGAACTTACCTCAAATACCTATTTTACTCGCCATATTTACACATATAAATTTCAAATTTTTACATCAAACACAGAAAAAAAACACTTAAAACTGGCCCTTTTGAAAGCATAGGTCATTTTTGTTTTTCTGTTTATTTTCTTGTACTCGGAATTGGGACTTAAATTTTTAATGCGTAAATTCGACAAGTAAGACATATTCGAGGTAAGTTTCTACTTGATATGCCGAGTCACTGATTTTCGCAGCCAATTTTAGAGTCGAAACTTTATTTTGGAACACACTTCGCTAGATACCTGTACAGCTCAAAACTGAATATTTTCCCATCTGTAGGGACAGGAGTTGCAAGAGCATTAAATTGCGAGCGAGATCAGCAAAGTGCAGACCCGTGGAAACTGCTCTAAATCATGTCAAAACTAGGGGTGTCGCGAACCGGTCAAGGTTCGAGTTCGACCCAGGTTCGACTTTTTTTTAACTTCTTGTGAAAAATTCGACAAAGGTTCGACTCAGGCTCGAGTGCTATGCGCATGCGCGACAGGCTGGCCAGTTAGCTTCGGATAGGATGGTGATGATTAAGGGATGTATGGACGATTCGCAATTTTCCTAAGCGCCCCGGCCCGCACGCGAGGAATTGTGGGAGAGACTGTCCCTCGCCTGGCTGCTCTGCCTTGAGATCGCATTGCCTTGTCGCTTGCCTCCCTCTTAATACTCTGTTTTTCGATATTCTGGCCATATTGTCCAGAGTCGAACCGGTCGAATCTCGTTAAAAGTTCGAAGGCTCGTCGAACCGGTTCGAACGAGTCGAACACCGAAGTTCGACCTGAAATCCGGTTCGACAAACTTTCGCGACACCCCTTGTCAAAACCCGGTATAGGTTGTATTCGTGAAGCGGTGCATGCTGGGACCAGCGCCATCTTGCCGTCCTCGAGAGCAGACAGCCGCGCGCGCACTCCCGTAGCGCCCAGCGACAGGTGACGGACGCGTTACGCACGCACCGTTGCAGTGCGACGTATTTATGGTGTTTGCTCGCCCGCTAACGTGAAGATGTCTTCTTCAAGTGGTTGTCCACCGCTGGGTTTATACGGCCTAAGTTTAAGCGGACGGGAACGCACACGTTACGAGGAAAAGGTTAAAATGTGCGGCGCGGATCCGTTCGCGCTGCCGCCGATGGACCTAGTCCGGAACAGCAACCTATGGCCGCAGGTAGAAATGGGCGACATACACAACTACCTGATCCTCAAGACAAGTTTCGTGACGCGCAAGCAGCTAAAAGCGTACAAATCATTAGACGCCCATAATTACCTTACGAGCGGATGGGTCCAGGAGCCGGCAATGAAAGCAGCGAACGCGGACAGCGTGATCATCGTCTCGAAGGTGAGCCTAACTTTTCATGTTTTTGCGGACGCGTATCTTCGCTTAATTTCGTTTGAAACGGCGAAACGGTCTGTTTCAGGAGCGTGTAGTAGCCAGTGATAGTGATAGCGCGAAGGAGATGATGGTGGCCTAGCGCGTCTTAGATCGGTGCACGTGGAAAGCTCGTGCTGCAGGACCCAAACATCGTACCGGTGTGCAGTCGTGCATCGCTACTGCGTGGTGCACCTAGTAAAGACTCCAGGCTAGCGGTCGCGCTGCACTGGCGAAATTTCTCAACAGCGTGCGACATTGTCGCCAAAACCAGACAGTCTGGATCTGTCTAAAACAAGGATCTTTTTTGTTTTAATGCCCGAAATTCACTTCGTCATGCGTGCAGCGTGGGCGGATGTGAGGAATGCAATCGTTTTTTTTTGGTTTGTCGCGTAGTATGTGCGAATCTAACCAAAGCACTTTTTATGCATGCAGGTAAACCACTCTCAAAGGCCGACACTCACCCGAGACGAAGTGGCGTGAGCACACCTTGTACTTGTCGAGGTCAGCGTCCAGGTCTTTTCTGTTGATGCGTTTCAACCATTCTCGCTGTCTCCTCGCGGACAGTGTTCGCGTCGTGTCGCATTCACGAGTCCGTACCTTCGGTATTTTAAAGAACCGAGCGTCTGCGACCTTGCACTCTTTCTTCTTCTTTGACGATTGCGTCTTGTTGTGGCAACCTACCACCACACACGACACCATACCCGAGGCAGAAAGCGCGGCTGCGGCTTCGCCTGAAGTTTGAAAAGGTAGGATGCGGTTGTCCGTACGCGACTGTGCGACTGTCTGCTCCCGAGGACGGCAAGATGGCGCTGGTCCCAGCATGCACCGCTTCACGAATACAACCTATATCTGTGCGTTGCGGCCGATCGCGATGCACCCCGCTGGACCACATCTGTCTTGTTTTGCGATTAATGGCTATGATTCCGCTTTTGCTCACCTCTTTCTCTCGCTTTACACAACAGCCCAAATTACAATAGAGGGCTTTCGTAAACCGCCATGGAGTAGTTTGCGGCATGGTTCGCGGCGAAGACTGCAGTCATGTTAGTCGCAGCGACCCGTGCCCAAGCCACGGTCGTGGCGCAAGCATAGCAGCGTTAGCGGAGGTGCAATCCCGGATTGTACATACGTAAGGGCTTAGCGTTACTAGCGCGAGCTTGTGCCGTCACTTTCAGCGTGGATTGAGCAAGCGCCAGTAAGGCCCGCAATCCTAGCGTACGCTCCACTAAAACTGTGTCTGCCAATCTCGTCAGAACTCCGGACGGCGTGCGCGAACACGAGCAAGTTTTCTGCGAAAATGGCACAATTTATAAATACAAAACGTTTTCATTAACTTACGTGACTGGAGGCATCGCGCAACGTGCTGGCCGCTGGCTTCGAGTCCGTCCGGGTCAGGTCCGGCGTGACGCGACGCACCAGATAACCATAAAGTCCCTATATACGCGTAACATGCCATAATTCTAGATCTGGATGCTAGCTCGCGTCACCTGGCGATCTAGCCACACAATCCTGCTGTTTGTAAAATTAAATCCACCGAGTTCTGCTACAGGACAATCTGGGCGATCTGTTTGATAGCCGAATTTTGTGATTAAAATGAAATCTTAAACGTTGCAAAAGGAAAGAAAAAAAAAGCGAAGAGGAAATTGCATCGCAGTCGACACCACTAATGGCTGCTCACTTTTGCATAGTCGTGTAGTTTGCGCGCTGTTCTAACTTTTTTGTTACGGTAGCGCTTTCACATATTTATTTATTTTGTGTAAGTGAAATCAAAGGTTTCGAACACGGGACAAGCACAGGATGAGTAAATGGAAAAAAATGGAGGAAAGTCCGCAAAGAGTACGACCGAGCGGTGCAAGAAATTGTAGATATCGACGCTCGGCACTTACAAAAGGATCTCTCCAGCAGTTGCGGTGAGCACACATCGTTGGAAGGTGAGACGAGCCAGAGTGTGACGTCGTCCTGCTCAGCCGACGTCGACGACGTGGTTCTGGAGCAGGAAGACAACCTCGAGAGGAATTCAGCACCCGACTCGACGCCAGACAGTTGTCACAGCGCTGATGCTGTCACCGGGTCTTCGGAAATTCTTTCGCCTCGCGAGAAGTTGGCTTGTATAGCCCAAAAACAGAATTTGACACACGCCAGCGTGAAAGACCTAGCCGCATTCTGCAGGGAAGAAGGCATAGACATCCCAAAGGATCCGCGAACCCTCATGGGTACGCAGCGAACTACCCGAATCAACGATGTTGGCTTTGTCCATTTCGGTCTAGAAGAAGGAATTCGCGATGCGTTGATGAAACTTCCCGCGCCACGTGAAGTCATCTTGCAAGGCAATATTGATGGGCTGCCACTTTTCAAGAGCTCGCAAGTGTGCTTCCGGCCCATCTTATGCAAAGTGACGAATTGTGGCGACTCGACTCCCTTCATCGTGAGCTTGTTCTGTGGCAAAGGAAAGCCCCCGTGCCTGGAATCTTATCTGCGCCCCTTTCTGGAGGAGGTACAAGCGCTCGCAAAAGATGGCCTTATCTTTAAAGGTACCAATGTTCCCGTCACCCTTTCAGCTACGATCTGCGATGCCCCAGCCAGAAGTTTCGTTAAGCGGACTATTGGCCACACGGGTTACCATGCCTGTGAGCTCTGCACGGTGAGAGGTGTCTACATGGATGGGAAGGTGACATATCCACACCTGACTTCACCACTTCGTACGGACTCATCATTCCGCGCACAGGAGGACGAGCATCACCACAAGGGGACCTCTCCCTTCACCTGCCTGGACGTGGATCTTGTGGCACTCTTCCCTGTGGATTACATGCACCTTGTGTGCCTCGGAGTAATGCGCCGTCTGCTGCGAAACTGGGTCAGCACAGGACATACAACGAGACTTGGACGTCAGCAGCGCAGCCGCCTTGATGACAGCCTACGAGCCTGTGCCATGAACTTTCCTGTCCAATTCCAAAGGCGACCTAGGGGAAAGGCGAGCTCGACAGGTGGAAGGCTACAGAGTTTCGTGCCTTCCTCCTGTATGTTGGCCCAGTTGTGCTTCGCGAATTGCTTCCTGACATGTTGTATGAGCATTTTCTTGTGCTGCACACTGCGATACGTATACTGGCTTCCCCAAAACTGCACATTGAGTTCAATGAGAATGCAAAGGATCTGCTGAAGTATTTCGTTCAGCAGTTTGGAATAATCTATGGACAGAACCAACTTGTCTATAATGTACATACTCTTAGTCATCTCGCCGAACAGTGTCTCAAACATGGCCCTCTTGATGACTTCAGCGCTTTCAGTTTTGAGAGCTGCTAAGGCAGGCTAAAAAAAAAAAGCTTCGTTCTACAAGCAAACCTCTGGCCCAGATTAGCAGAAGAAAGTCAGAGGCAAGGAGCATCGGCCATCTGGAGGCTGGAAAGGTTCAGCATAAAGTGAGAAAAGGCGACTGTTTCATGCTTGAAAACTCTGCAGTTGTCGTCCATGAGGTGTTCCCAAATCACTTCGAGGGAGCCATCATGTTGAACAAGAGGGATTTTTTCTCCGTGCCCGTCATGTCTTCTTTACTTGGCATTTGGAGAGTTGATGGGTTCACGACAAGTAACAAGAAGTGGCCGCTGCTACATGCAAAAAAGTCTGTTCAGTGCCTAAAGGTTGCTTACAAAACTGGGCATGTCATCATCCCACTTCTGCATCTCCAGTAATGCCCACAGATGGATTCAGGTTGTCTCGCTTCGAGTGCTCCAGCTGTTCTGTTCTCCATGTGTATGTTATATCCAGCACTAGTATTTGAACCTTTGTACATATACTGTTGAGCTTTGTTTTTATTGAGTTTGTGAGTTACCATTCGCAGCTTCTCTTTTGCTCATCGTGCATGGCTGTGTTATTCTTAAAGGAATACTACAACGAAATTTCGGTACTTATTTTATGGTCTATATGTGTTCAAAGGAGCAGTATCCCATCGAACACACCAATATCTTGTTAAAAAAAGTCACAAAAAGGAATTTTAAAACGAATTAAACGATTAGCAAAGAGCACCGTGGACGTCGCTAGCGCCTTGCTTGTAATGCCCGTCTAGGAACGTTGACAGCTAGTGACGGCGGTTGTCTCGCCTCCGGCCACGACGAGAGAAGTGGGGCAGGAGGAACTCCCCTCTTCCCGAGAATGCCTTTTGTGTGTTGCAGAAGTCGCTATTGTCCCCCTACAGGATTACAGAAGATGATCCTGTCACTCAAAAGTCATACAAAAGCAGCCGCTTCGGTGGCTGGAACGACTAGGCCATCCTCTCGACGTCAGCCTCGCCGTAGCTTTGCTCGTCCTGAGACGACCTACGTCACGATTGCGTTGTATGTCACATGCTGTCCGCTGGCTGTTCTCCGAGCGCTTACCAGAGTGGGCCGTTTATAACAAAACATAGAGCCACCAGGCTCAAAATAGAAACGTGCGATGGTCATTTACGGATATTGTGGATCATAATTAACCTATTTTTGAACACGACGGGAATATTTCAAATTTCGTTGAAGTATTCCTTTAATACCAACATTTGAACCATACTGTGAAGTTTTTTCTTTTTATTGAATGTTAATAACCCATGCTTCCTTCTTTTCTTTTTGTGTGTGTGTTATTGTTTTGTTTCCAATACCGACATTTGTACCTTTGAACGGGCTGTTGAGCCTTTTGGGGAAGTAATTGAGTTTATGAGTGATCCCTGTTTTTTTTAGGATTGAGCTTGTAAAGAGTTTGTTTTGTTATTTTTTACCTCACTTCAATTGTATTCTGAACATGCCAAACCAATGGAAGGCATATCTGACACACTCAAGCAAATTTTTAGGATTATTATCAACCACCTGGGTTCTTTCGATGGACACCGAGCACCTTTAGTACACAGTATAATCACAATAGACATTCATTATATTGTGAGTACTTCAGCCAGTATTCAAATCTGCCCACGGGAGAGTTATTTGTGCATGACCTCCTTTGTTCCGAGCGCCAGCATGTGAGTGCTAGCATTTGAGTGCCGAACACACAGTGAAGATTCCTTCACTGTGTTTTAACCTGGTGCCTAGACATTGTGTTTTAACCTGGTGCCTGGACATTGCAGCACGAATAGTGCTGGTGTGCCAAATTCTGATCATCGTGCAGCGTGCGTCCTCGACATATACGAAATTGGAAAGATACATTGACAGTTGGGTGGCCATGAGTGTTTACTATGCTGTTAGGACATCTCCTTCCTTCCTTCAGTCGTCTTGCAGCATGGACTTCACCACAAGATGCAGTCGTGATCCAAATAAAGGTGAACGGGCGAGCGTCGACCGCCCGATACTGACAGCGTTGTACAGCAGTGGCACACAGTGGTTTCTCTTGTAGTCACATGCATCGCCACGCTTAGTTCGCGAGGCGCTTGATTATGAGAGTAAGCAGCCGTGGCCACTGCTGCATGACGCTGGCTTTACCGAGCAGTCGGCGCTTGCCCGTTTACCTTCATACCAAGCAAGCTCTGGGGGATTTAGTAAAAGACTAGTATTGTTGTGGTTTGCACATTCTTCTCAGTTTGTTTATGCTCGTTGTGGTTCTTCATTTTTTGAAATCGTATCTGACCCTATGTTATTCTTCCAGATTGGGTTAGCAGCCAGGAAGGAATTTAGGCCACTTCAATTGGGGGGGGGGGGGGGGGGGGGGGGGAGGGGAGGGGAGGGGAGGGGAGGGGAGGGGAAGGGAAGGAAGGAAGGAAGGAAGGGGAAGAGGAGGGGAGGGGTGGGGGTGCTTTTTTTTTAAATGATTTGTTAGTTGCTTACCACACTGCACTATTTCTGCGCATTGCATAATTTATCAATTTCATTTCATATTCTCTCGATTTCATTTCAATATGTTACACGAGTCTTGCTATTCTGATTGTATTGCCTTGTAGCAACAAATCAGATGCTTGCATGAAGTCAAAGATTGACTGACATGGTTGCAACATCACAAAAGGCAGAAGAGATAATAAAATAATCCTTTCATGTTAGCCCTTGTCGGCTCACAGCAAAGCAATGTGGAAGTAAGACTGAAGTCTGTGTTACCACTGTGAGAGTGTTGATTACGTTTGCTGAATTGGATGAAGGGAAGCGTCCCCTTCAACCTATTGCTTCACATTGGTCACCTTATTGGGTGCGAACTGAACTGACCCATGGTTTCTTCCACCAGTCAAAGGTACCTGCGTGCTCAAGCACTTGCTTTCAGGCCCTCACTCGAGAGTTTCGGACCTTATCCGCCACATGATCAAGAATTATGATGCGGAAGGATTAATTAGCCCCAAGAGCCTCACTTGGCACCTTCGAAATTAGAATGCTTAGTGCCGTTTGCTAGGCTGGAGGCGTGGATGCTTGTTAGTTTAAGAAAACAAATCTTGTTTTGCACGTAATTCATGT